GTTTCGACAAGGTTTTGTCATCATCAGGTAAAAGTTTTGCAACAGTATCCGATCATGTGACCTCTTTGTTTAATACTGTATATATATATATCCGTGTCAGTGTAAATTACTTGTACCTGATGATGACAAAACCTTGTCGAAACGTTGTACATTTGCTGTTATGTTAAACTTATATTAAAGTTTTCTTCATTACCCATTCAAGCCGTCTCCAACCATAAATAGGAACGTAAAATACAAGTTATACACGTCAGTACATTTTCGCCATTGACACAAAGAGCTACTAAAAACTACTCTCAAAGAATCAAACTACAGTTCTTAACACAGACATTCTGGTGAGTCATTTTTTCTAGTACGTAATCAGGATACCACATTTTATTGTTTCGTGCAGTTAATTAACTTTCTCCGTGTACGACGCTACATTTTGGTCAATATTCTCGTCTCCTTTGCTCGACGGCTAACTTAGTTCTTTCAATTGCTTAGAGGAATTACAGAACTTTATGTTCTTCCATGATGTTTAATCAAATTGCGCTTGTTTTTAAACATCCTCGTCACGATTAGAAGTTATTGATAAAGAGATAAGTTCCCATCCTTTTACTCAGTAATATACTTCATTACTATTTGTGAACAGGAAGATTTGCGAATTCTGCGAAGTAGCATTTTTGTTCCGTCCTGAAGCACGGTCCGGAAAAGATCGTACTATTCAAATAAATGTTGACCAGGTTCATAAATAACAAGTTTTATTTCATTAGTTCCATCATTTAGCATGTTGTTGGAAAAAATCAATGTTATATATACAGGAACTACCGACTTCATTCAATGTGTTTAACAACACTCTTCTCTGATGAACTTGTTCATGACAGATAAGGTCTGTAAACTATTTACGTTTGAATGTCACGTATCTTTTGTAACCACTAAGCTACTGTTAAATATGATATATTTCAACCAAACTTCCATCTTTGTTGTTTATATATAAGCACTAAGCTACTGTTAAATATGAAATCTTTCAACCAAACTTCCATCTTTGTTGTTTATATATAAGCACTAAGCTACTGTTAAATATGAAATCTTTCAACCAAACTTCCATCTTTGTTGTTTATATATAAGCACTAAGCTACTGTTAAATATGAAATCTTTCAACCAAACTTCCTTCTTTGTTGTTTATATATAAGCACTAAGCTACTGTTAAATATGATATATTTCAAACAAACTTCCTTCTTTGTTGTTTATATATAAGCACTAAGCTACTGTTAAATATGAAATCCTTCAACCAAACTTCCATCTTTGTTGTTTATATATATAAGCACTAAGCTACTGTTAAATATGAAATCTTTCAACCAAACTTCCATCTTTGTTGTTTATATATAAGCACTAAGCTACTGTTAAATATGAAATCTTTCAACCAAACTTTGATCTTTGTTGTTTATATATAAACATTAAGCTACTGTTAAATATGAAATCTTTCAACCAAACTTTCTTTGTTGTTATAGTTTGCTGAAACAGAATTGAGTTTTGAACAATAGAACTGAGCAAAGCCTAGTCACAGTTTTCAACCTGTGACGGTTGTTGTTCGGGTCATTTTCAGACTTGAGAGCTGATAATAACATAGAAACTTGTAAAAAAAAAAAAGACAAGAAAACTGGAACACTATCAACAGAACTCACTGAATACATTAATGTATATCTCACCATGCAACAAGTGTGAAAACAAGTCGTTTTATCTATTGGAGTACAAGAGGACTTGGAGTAAATAGTGTGACTTTGAAAGAAATAGACTTGGAATTAATGGTGTGACTCAGAGAAAAGAAACGAACTTTAGGTTAGTAATGAGACTTTGAAAGACGAAACACACTTTTAGTTAATAATGTGCATTAGAGAGAAGAAATGAACTTTGGGTTAATAGTATTATTTTGAGAGGAGAATCAGTTTTCGGGGTTATAGGATGACTTTAAGGATATAAAGCGTTTTGGGTTAATAATGTAAATTAGGGAAAATAAAGGTTAATAGTGTCATTTTGAAGACTAAACAGACTTCGGGTTAATAGTACGGCATCGAGAAAAAAATTTGCTTCATATTAATAAAACGACTTTGGAAGATGAAATGGACTTCTGGATAATAGCGTGGCTTTTAGAGAAAAATCTTATTTCGAGTTAGTAATTCGACTTTGATAAAACAAACGGGCTTTCAGTTAATGATGTGGATTTGAGAGAAAAATAGACTTCGGGATATTAGGTGGTTAATGAGAGAGAGAAACATATTTCGGGTTAATAATATGACATTAAGAGAAGAAGTTGAATTTGTGTTAATATTACTTTGAGGAAAGAAAGGGACTTCGGGTCATTAGTGTGGATTTAAGAGTAAAAGGGATTTGAGGTTAAGAACTTGACTTTGGGATTAGAAACAGACTACTGGTTGACAGTGTTACTTTAAGAAAACAAATGAACTTTGTGTTAATACTGCGACTTTGAGAAAAAAAAAAATAATATGACATGGAGGAAAGAAATGGACTTCTAGTTAAGAAAATTACTTCGAAAGAATTAAATAAGGGTAGTAGTGTGATTTTGAGAGAAGAAACGGACTTCGGGTTAATAGCGTGAAATTGAGGGAAGGCAGTATTTAGGTTAATAGTATGACTTTGAGAGAAGAAAAAGGGACTTCGGGGTAATAGTAGGATATTGAAAGAAAAACAGACTTCGCATTAGTAGTGTGATTTTGAGAAAAGAAAAAGACTTTGGGTTAATAATGTGAAATTGAGAGAAGAAAGGGATTTGAGTTAACATTGAGACTTTGAGTGAAAAAAAAAGGGACTTCGGGTTAGCTATGTAACTTTAAAAGAAGAAATAGAATTTGGCGTAGTAGTTTAACTTTGAAGAAAAAATGGACTTTGGGTAATAGTGGGAATATTGAGAGAAAAAAAACAGATTTGGATTAATTGTGTAACTTTTAGAGATGAAACGGACTCCGGGTTAATTTTGAAGCTTTCAAGGAAGAAATTGGCCTCGGGTTGATGGTGTGGCTCTAAGAGAAGAAAGAGACTTTGGGTCATAAGTGTGAATTTAGGAGCTCAAATGAAATTCGTGATAATAGTGGGATTTTAAAAGAATAAGTCGATTTAACGTTAATAGTATAACACTTAGAAAAGAAACTGACTTTGTGTTAATAATATGAAATTGAGAGAAGAAGCGGACTTCGGATTAATATATGATATTGTGATAGAAAACGAACTTCGGGAGAGACTTTGAGACTTTGTGACTTTGAGAGAAGAAACATAATTTGTTTTAATACGTGGATTTTATAAAACAAGTAAATTATGAGTTATTAGTGTGACTTTGAGAGAATAATGGGAATTTGAGTTAAATGTGTGTTCTTAAGAGAAGAAACACACTTTTAGTTACTAGTGGGGCTTTCAGAAAAGAAAGTGACTTGGAGTTAATAAGACAAATTCGAAAGAGGATACGGACTTTAGGTTAATGACTGCCCTTCAGAGAATAAGCGGACTTTGGGTTAATAGTGAGATTTTAAGAGAAGGAACGGAATTCAGGTTAATAAAATGACATTGACAGTAGGAACTGTGTTTGATTTAATAGTATTTTTGAGAGAATAAATAGATTACGGGTTGACAGTGTGACTTTGAGAAAAGAAGTGAGCTTTAGTTACTATTGTAACTTTGATAGAAGAATCGGACTTCGGGTTAAGGATGTCTTTCAATGGATAAATACTTTAATATTTGAAATTTAAAAAAATAATAGACGAACAAAGATACGTACCTTGCGATTCATCAAAATTTACAGCTGTTCTTAGTTTTATTCCAGAAGACCCTGAAAAAACAAAAATAATTTTTACACACTATATAGACTCAATTAATTCAGAAAATTCAGCCTAAAACTGTTTCTTCAATAGAGACGTATAAATCAATGTGGTGTGATTTAGCAAGGAGACTTTGGGTTCGAGTATAGTTTCCAAGGAAATGTAAGATCTAAAAACATATTTCTTGGCAAATAGACGATATTAAAATCCTAATGATCCATGTTTAGTTCATTTTCATACAGTGGTTAGTGTTAACAGTTTAATATTTCTGATACCTTAAACTCTCTCAAGTCTAGTTCAGTATAATGTCTTTTAATCGTTCCTCTAAAGCAGTTAGGTAATCTCGACAACGCCTCAGTGTGGCACCGGTTGTGTCTGAGCTTCTTGGATGGCGTTCATTAACTATCATCGTTTATGCATATTACTTCCCCCCTTTTCACCACTGAGTTCATAAATAAGGCTTAACTTCAATGCAAGAAGATACTAGCCTAGTTTTATGGACTACAATGATCAACATCTTTGTGTTTATTCACTGTAAACTGGGGTTAGTTTTAGTTTCAACTATGTAAGCAGTGTACATGTTTGCCGCAAAACATTGTTACCTCCATGTTTAAGTCCTATTAAATAATATGTAGAAATACAGATAACACATAGTAAAGTGATTGATACTCCTTTTATGAAAATAAAACAAAGTATGTTATTTTTAAGCTGCGTTATACGAACAACGAATGATATATATTGGATAAAAATCAGTGTTGACAGATATATATATATATAGCAACATACATGGCACTTTTAACTGTTATGAGTAAAGAGAAGATTGTTTAGTCTGAAAAGAGGCACAAGTAAATCCGGTTTGTAACAACTGCTTTTTCTTTTTTATGAACTACACAGTTTTACAAAGTTTCGTTGTAAATTTTAAAAGTACATATGTACATATATAGATATGATTGGTATGGGTTATGTAGTTGTGTAATTCTGAAGCATCAAAATTATACACATGTGTATTTTCTATGCTGAATAGTATTGTAGTTCATATAGGCTTTATA